AGTACTGTACCTGCTTGGGTTTTCTTTTTTTTTTTGGTCTCTTTGAGACAGGGTCTCACTATGCAGTTCAGGCTGGCCTTGAACTCACTTTGTAGCCCAGGCTGATCTCAAACTCACAATGATCCTCCTGCCTCAGCCTCCCAAGTGCTGGGATTACAGGCGTGCGCCACCACGCCCGGCCTCTCTTTTTTGTCTTTTTGAGACAGAGTCTCACTATGAAGTTCAGATTGGCCTTGAGCTCATTTTGTAGCCCAGGCTGGTCTCAAACTCACAAAGATCCTCCTGCCTCAGCTTCGGGAGTGCTGGGATTACAGGCGTGTGCCACCATGCCTAGCCGCCTCCTGCCTTTTTTGAGACAGGGTCTTGCTAAACCACCCAGGCTGGGCTCCAATTTGCAATCCTCCTGCCTCAGCCTCCCAAGTGCTGAGATGACAGGAGTGCACCACCATGCCTGGCTTCGTTACTGAGGAAAGGGAGGATGTTCAGGCCCTCAGTCAGCTTCGGGGTCGCATGTCCTCATAGTGTGCTGTCTTTTGCCTCCCTCCCTCTGGTCAGGGGCTACCTCCAAGGTCACCTTTAAGGCGACACCAAGAATATTGAATCACCTCTCAAGCTCAGACCCAAGATTTTTTTTTCCCCCCGCCGAACAGGGTCTCACTATGCAGTCCAGACTGTCCTTAAACTCTCAGTGATCCTTCTGAGTGCTAGGATTATAGTTGTGCACCACTACGCCCAGCCAAGATTTTTAAATTAAGAATATTTGTGTTATTCAAATAGTTTAGGTGGGAACAATTTTTGTAAATAGTGTATTGGATGGTAGGTGTCTGGGAATGTAGCTAGATTTTTTTTTAGTATCAGTCTTCTAAAAACAATTCCCCTTTCCCTTTTTTGTGGTGCTGGGGACTGAACCAAGGAGTTCTGTTACTGAGCTACACCATAAGCCCACCTCTGTGGCCTCCTTTTGCAGTTTTCTGAGACAGGTCTTACTATGTAGTCCAGGCTGGCCTTGAGCTCGCTAAATTGCCCACTATGGCCTCAAACTTGCAGCGGTTCTCCTGCCTCAGCCTCTTGAGTGCTGGGATCATAGTGGTATACTACCACACTCAGCCAGAAGATCCATTTTGGCTGTTAGTTTATCAGGGAGAGTTTCGCTTGTCCAAATGATTTAGGTGACTATTACCAGATTGATGGTGGGGAGCGGAACGGGACGAAATGGATTCTAAGTGGTCTCATACACAGCTGGAGAAGGAACTCAGGTAGGAGCTCACTTTGCTTCTCAGGGTGACCTTTGGAAACTGAACCCTTACCAAATGCTGTGTGGCTAGGTGTGGTGGCGCAAGCCTGTAATCCTAGTACTTGGGAGGCTGAGGCAGGAGGACTGCCATGAGTTTGAGGCCAGTGTGAATTACATAACCAGACCGTCTCAAAGAAAAAAAACCCAAACACAAACATATAAAAAAAGTTGCAAAGGAGACACAAAGGAAGGGGCTAAGGGCACAGAGGAGAATCAAGGGGTGAGCCAGGCATGACTTGCACCCTTGTAATCCCAGCCCTAGGAAGGCTGAGGCAGGAGGATGACAGTGAGTTCCAGGCCAGCCTGAACTACCTGGCGAGATCCAGGGTTGAGATAAATAAACTCAACGCAGTGTTTTTTTTTTGGGGGGGGGACTAGAAATCGAACTCAGGACCTTGTGCTTGCCAGGCAGCCGCTTATGCCACTGAGCTATGCCCCGGCCTCAATGCAGGGTTGAGAGAAGCAAGGAGACCTCTCAGGCATGGTCATTCATCTCTGAGCGCTGCTATCTAAATAGAGAGGAATTTAGGGACCTAAACTCGGGGGGGGGGGGGGGGGACAAAGGTGAGAGTCCCGCCTCCTTCCAGCTTCTCCCCAAGGCAGGGTCACTGAACTTGGGCTCTGGGAGCCGTGGTTGTGGTTCGGTCTGGGGAGCAGCGTGGAGGGCGACGTCCCCATGTCCCCAGTGGGCTGGAGACTCTGCCCTGCCAGTGGGATGGTGTGCAGGAGACTCGCATTGCCTTCGTGGAGATGCCAGGGGTCCTGGCCAGGCTGTGTCTCGTCCCCAGCACCATGGAAAGCAAAAACAAAGAAAACGATTAAGAATAAGAAAAGCCAGGAGTGGCGGTGCACGCACCTGTAACTCCAGCACTCGCGAGGCTGAGGCAGGAGGATCACTGCAAGTTCGAGACCAGCCTGGGCTACAAAGTGAGCTCAAAGCCAGCCTGAACTGCATAGCGAGACCCTGTCTCAAAAGCCACCCACCCCACGAAAAAAAAAGGAATCCAAGAATAAGAAAAAGGGCCCTGAAGGGTGCATATTTTAGACACAGGGTCCTGTGGCTCTTCCTTTGAGGAAGGTGCCCCTAAATCACCCAGGTTGGCCTCAAACTTGAGACCCTCCTGCTCCTGCTGCAGTCTCCCAAATGGCTGGGATTACAGTTGCTCACCTGCATGCCCAGCTTTCCTTTTTAAGGCTGAGTAATATTCCATTGCATGATGTGTCACATTGTGTTTCTCCATTTGTCCACTAGCAGGCACTTACTTTTCCACAGCGTTTAGTGGTTGTGAATGCTGTGCTGGGAACACATGTGGGAAAATGACTGAATCTCTGCTCCTGGTTCTTTTGCAGCACACCCAGAACTGAACTGTAGGGTGCTGCAGTCACTGCTTTAGCGTCTTGAGGGTCTGATGTACTGTCACAAACATCTCTGTGGAGAGCAGGCCTTCTCCAGGCCCTGCGGTTGGCTGAGCCTGCTCTACTTTATGTAGTGTGGCACGGAGATCCCCCTGGTGGGGCAGAATCAAGTGTGAGGTGTATTCAACTGCCCAGAGGCAATCCGCGCAGGACCCGCTGAAGTTTGAGACTTTAATCCACACGACAGGCAGAAAAGTTTAACGACATCAGGAATGCGATTTTAAGTAGTTTTCAGTATGAATTTGTTTTTGGAGACAGGATCTTCTTATGAAGCTCAGGCCAGCTTTGAGCTTGCTCTGTAGCCCGGGCTGGCCTTGAGTTTGCAATTCTCCTGCCTCAACCTCCTGAACGCTGAGATAATAGGCATGCACCACCATCCCTAGCTAAAACAAAGTGTGTGTGTGTGTGTGTGTGTGTATTTGTGGTACTGAGAATTGGCCTAGGGCCTTCAAACTGAGCTGTACTACCCAGCCCTTCAAATATTTTTTCTTTAAATTTATTATTATTTTTGGTTTTGAGACAGGGTCTTCCTATGTAGTTCAGGCTGGCCTTGAACTTATTATTATTTTTTTTTTTTGGTTTTTCTCCGGTACCAGGAATCAAACTCATGACCTTGTGCTTGCCAGGCAGGCGCTGTGCCGCTGAGCTAAATCCCCAGCCCCAGCCTTGAACTCTTAATGATCCTCCTACCTCAGCCGCCCAAGTGCTTGCTGGGATTATAAGCACAGGCCACATGCCCAGCAATAGTGATTTTTTTTGTGTGTGTGGGGGGATCTTTTTGAGACAGGGTCTCGCTATGCAGTTCAGGCTGGCCTTGAACTCACTTTGCAGCCCAGACTGGACTTGAACTCCCAATGATCCTCCTGCCTCAGCCTCCCGAGTGCTGGGATTACAGGTGTGTGCCACCACACCTGACCAATAGTCAATTTTTTTTTTTTTTTTTTGGTATCAGGGATCGAACTCAGGACGTTGTGCTTGCAGGCAGGTGCTTGTGCCACTGAGCTGTATCCCCAGCCCTTCAATTTTTGAATGATCATAAAAAGTTTTAAGTTTTTTTATCACTCACTTGTGCAGATAATTTTCTTTTTTTGTTTGTTTTTTTTTTTTTAGTTTTTCTCCGGTACCGGGAACCGAACTCACGACCTTACGCTTGCCAGGCAGGCGCTTTGCCGCTGAGCTAAATCCCCAGCCCCTAGATAATTTTCTTAAAAATGATTATAAAGACTCTTTAGACATTACTGTGAATGTCTGGATCTGGAACTATATGCTGGCATGTTAGCCTGGTAAGAAAGCCATGATTCTAGAAGTTTGAATCTTTTAACACTTAAAAATAATTTTTTGGGACATGTTATACAAATTTAAAAATTTATGTAAATTCTGTCTTTTTTTTTAAGGGGAATGGTACTAGGGACTAAATCTAGGCCCTTTACACTGAGTTCTAGTCCAGCTCTTTTTCGAAGTTTTCTGAGAGGGACTAAGTCACTACGTTGCTCTAGAGGGACCTGAGTTTATAATCCTCCTGCCTCAGCCTGCATTTGTTGATTATGCTTGTATAAAGAATATATAAAGAACTTTACCTCCATCATCACGACTTAGGCCGAGGTCCCCTCAAGTTTATTCTACTGTGCTGCATGTAGGGGGGGTGTGTGTTAAAAACACTGGACAGTATGCTGTACAGGGAGCCTCACATTTCATGTCTTTATTTGGCCTTTGAGACAGGGTCTCACTGTGTGGCCCAGGCTGACCTTTTTCTTTGTCTTTTTGAGACAGGGTCTCACCATGCAGTTCAGGCTGGCCTTGAGCTCACTTTGTAGCCCAGGCTGGTCTCCAACTTGCAATGAACTTCCTGCCTCAGCCTCCCGAGTGCTGGGATTAGAGGTGTGTGGCACATACTAGCTGAGCCTCAGATTTTGAAGATGGCTGCTAGTAGGGAGAGATGGCTACACTCACGATTCATTAGAGGGGTTACTGAGGAAGCCCGCATATTTACAGATTTGGAAATTGACCCTCCTTCCCCACAAAAGCCATCCTTAAAATGTTTGTGGTGATAGTCTATAGTGCGGAGGGATCCCAGGACTGCCTGGAGGCCTCTGGGCTGGTTTTGTGGAGAATCCATCTTTCACGTCCACCCGTTTTTTTCTGTGACTGATTAGATGACGTCGAGTTCACTGTCATGATGTTGTGACACCAGTTAATGAATACTCTGTAAAATATTTTGTAAAGCAAAATGCTCTCACATTTAACCCTACGAACTCTGGATCCCACAGTGACACACTCATACGCACACACCGACGTTTCTATATTGTTTTGTATTTTAAAAAGTGACCGTAACAGATGCTTCCCCTGGTTGAGGAGTGACATGTCTATTTTCAATGCATAGGGCCTTGAAAGTAACAGCCTTTTGTCCAAACTGAACTTAGATGGTTGCACGTAAGCCACAGAAAGCATTAAGAGGTGCTAGGGAAGAGCAGCTCCCCAGACCCTCGCGGAACACAGCCAGGAGGCACGAGTCCAAGGGACCCTGACGCAAGGGCCCCGACGCTCCTGGGAGGAGCAAAGGTGAGGGTTCTGTGGCAGCGCAGGGAGTGGCGATGCCGCTGCCTCCGTCACTCCACAGGCACCGGGAACCTTCTGCTCAGCGTGCTCCTGCAGGCTGAAAAGCTCCCCCTCCTCAATTCCGGGCTGCGGCTCCTCCCGCGGGAGACCCAGAGGAACATTAAGCGCGCTGTAAACACTCTTCCGTGCAGGGTCCTTCCTGGGCCCTCGCTTTCTGTCACACACAGGCTCCGCTGGCATCTACCAGCGGGTAGGCGGATCCCAGTGCAAATTCAACTGTTTTACTGTGGCGGTCACTGGGAACACTGGGACAAGGGGCCCGGGGGGCCAGGGCAGCCTGGCTGAGTGACCCTCGTGACCAACGTGGGCATGGGAGAGGGAGCAGCACCAAGCGTCACACTGCAGTGTTGTAGCAAAGCCAAAGAAGGCGTGCGTGACAGGTGTCTGGAGAACAGAGCAACACTGGTTTTCTCTGTTTTGAGGAGATCCGGTGTCTTCATCTGGAGATTTGTTTTATGGACCTTAATTTCAAGACAGAATGACCATGGCAAGGCTTTTCCCTTTCTGACCTTAGAAAAGCTAATGGAGGGGCTGGGGGTGCAGCTCAGTGGCACAGCACTTGTCTGGCATGCATGAGGCCCTGGGTTTGACCCCTACCACTGAAGGGGTAGGGAGAGAGACCCACATATGTTCTGAAAGAAGATGCACATAAAATACATTTTGGGTCAGGGGTTGACACAGTCTCACCATATACTTCAGGCTGGCCTAGAACTCACGGAGATCCTCCTGCCTCAGCCTTCTGAGTGTTGGGATTACAGGAGTGTGCCACCACACCCACGCTACTCTGGCTTTTAGTACAGTTGCTGCCTTTGCCAGTTCAGTAGCTTCGTGGGTGAGCTCTGAGGGCTGATGCATTAAGAACCTATGAAGGAGCCAGGTGCCATGTGGTGCACCTGTCATCCCAGCTACTTTGGGAGACTGAGGTGGGATGATCGCTTGAGTCCACAAGTTTGAGACCAGCCTGGCAACACGGTGAGCCCTCCATCTCCAAACAAAACCCCAAACCTATGAAGCAAGCATGTTTGTCTGGGGAAGGAGCCCTCTTTAAAGAGGACGGACGGCTGGACGTCTGGATCTGAGGTGGACACATACATGTTTTGCTTTTTCTTCCATTTCCTTTTTTATGAAGAACTACATACTCTCTAAGCTCCAGCAAGTGGCAAGGATGGCTCAAAACTGCTTTGTTCAGTACCTGTTGCTGCTGGAATCGGGACTGGCTGCCCGGAAAGAGACCCTGAGGGCTCCTGAGGCTCCTGGAAGAGGAAGGCGGGACCCGGGGAAGGTGGGCTTGGCTCCCCAGGTCACTGCGGGGGGCGCTCCGCTTAGGCAGACTGTGAGCTCAGAATGCAGGCACTGCAGGATGTCTACGTGATACCAGCTGGGTCTCAGAGCAGTGCAGGGAGGGAAGGGCCCAAAGAGAGCAGAGAGCTGCCGGTGTGCTCAAGTGTGCTCACTGGAATGCGTAGACATATACTGCAAGGCCTCACTTTCTGTTCAAAAATTCAACTACAGAATTCATGTCACTAAAGCTGTCGTAACAAACCATTCCAAAGTTCACTTTTCCAGATTTCCACCTACGTAACAGAGCCCGCACACCCGACTCTGCGCATCAGCAGCGTGGCCTGGCGGGCGGAAGAGGCGCAGCCGTGGGCCGTGGCGGGGTCAGGACGCCCTGCTGCAGATCTGTTCAATGTCCTTCAGATCTTTGGGGCACTCTGCGGAGAGGACGAGAGGCGAGTGCTGCGTCACCACTATGTCATCCTCAATTCGCACACCGAGACCCCGAAACCTCTCTGGAGCGTCTCTGTCATCCTCCGGGACATAAATGCCTGAGAAGCAGAGAAAAGAGCACATGTTCCTCGGGGACAGTGACTAGGGGATGCGGGGCTGGCAGACCTCTCTGTTACAACTCCCGCAACACAGTACACGCAACACAGCCTGGGCCAGAATGGCCAGTAACGTGGGCTGTCACTGCTAGAATTCTTATGACAGTCATTCTGAATATTAGACTACAGGTTTCATACAACTCCTGTAATGCTGATCGTGACTGTGTCACTTCTCAAGGAAGCCATTACAGTTACTTAATTTATGAATATGTCTCTATATGCTGGACAGTAGATTATCTAAGTGTACTCTGCCTCTGCCCTAATGGTCCCTAGGAAAAAGGGCATTTACTCAAATAGAGATAAAATGGCCGGGTGTGGTGGCTCAGGCCTGTGAGCCCAGCACGTGGGAGGGTGAGGCAGCCTCAAGTTCAAGGCCAGCCTGGGCTGCATGGTGAGTTTAAGATCAACCTGAAATACGTAACAAAACCTTGTCCAAAACAACCACAAATGATAACAAAAACTAAAATAAAGATAACAGGTATTTAAATATTTAGAGATTATTAAACTTAACAGAAGCTCCAGAAAGTCATTAAAGGTTTTTTCTCTCAAATAAGCTATAAATCTAACAAGTGTTAAAACAGAGGCAGCAATCTCTAATGTACAATCGGAGAACCCTAGGAGCCCAGGTCCTCTCTGCTCCTGAAGTCAGTCAGACTCACGTCTGTTCACCAGGAAGAAACCGCAAACTTCTTCCTCCCTCTTCACAGATACTGTTCCGTGATGGAAAAGAACAGCAGCCGAAAGCGTAAGTAAAACCCGAGGAAGCACCTAGCAGGGAGCTTCACGGCTGGGCTGAACTCACGGGACTAGGTGACATCTGAGGCCACAGGGGACAGCATGTGATTGGGCTCGACTCCACCTCCAGGTCTAACTGACCGGATTGAGAGAAGAAAACATTGCGACCTGAGGAAAGCAGCACCAGCGCTGAAGCTACTCGGCTGTTAGCCCTTTCTGGCGCGTGTGAGAAGGGTGTGGGGTGCTAAGGAGCGGGCCCGCCGGTAGCCCCGTGCAGCCGACAGGGCCACGACGGAGGACGGCGCGTCTGCGTGCCTCTGCCTGCATCTGCCAGACTCCGGCAGCCTCCGCAGCCCACCACTGCTGATGCCCACAAAGGCAGGAGAAAAAAGATGTTTCTTAATATCTACTTATAGAAAGCCTTTACCATCTGTTGTTTATTGAGTAAGTCAAATTAAACAAATTGTGTGATGTTAAATAAGAAAGCTAAAGAAGAATCTTAACATCATCTTCCACACTGGGTGGTGTCTCTTCTGGTTTAACTGTGTTAGTTCGGGCTGAAACAGACAAGGTGAACCTCACGGTGTCAGGTGTCCCAAGGCTGGAGCTGCGAACCGTCCCCTCACCTGGCTCAATGGTGATCACCATCCCGGGCTGCAGCGGGAGGGAGCGCGGCATGTCTGGGGTATCATGGACGTCCATCCCAAGGTAGTGGCCCACGTGGTGAGGGCAGTACTTCCGAGCAGCCTGGAGAAGATGGTGTTGTGGGTTAGATCGAAAATGCTCCCCAGGGTCTCACGTGTTCAGAGGTGGGGCTTTTGGAAAGTGACTAGATCATCGTGCTGCATCCACAGATGAGTTCCTAGGCAACTGTGCTGTCTGAAGGTGGAGCCCGGCTGCAGGAGGTGGGCTACCAGGGGTGGGGTATGGGAGGACGTATGCTTCTCCCTGGCTCCTCTCTCCCTCTGCTTCCTGGCTGCCAGGGGGCGAGGAGCTCTCCTCCATCATGCGGGTCCTTGGAGCCAGGCACCCATGGACTGAGCCCATTAAAGCTGAGAGCCAAATAACCCTCTAACCCTCACGCTGTGGGTGTCTGGTGCTCTGACCCAGCCATGGGAAGGTGCCTAACACAGATAATTGCCACAGTATTATTAGAGCAATGAGCTTTTAAGAGAAAGTGATATGTATAAATCAGTGCAATATGTGTATTAATGCATCCTTGATGGTTGGTTCTGCCTCTTACACTTAACTCGTCCTTGGGCTATCTGCTCAAGAGATCTGGTATTCGGACTGAGAGAGCTGCTCAGTGGTACTGTATGTGCTTAGCATGCTTGAGCCCCGAGTTCGATCCCAGTACCCCCAGAAAATAAATAAATAAGAGAGGGAGGGACAGACGAGACATCTGATCAACTGGTACTCCTTATACGCAGTTATGCCCTAACTGCACCCTAATTAATTCACATTTCCATCTTGCTACGGAATCTACACACATGGTGCCCTGCAGAGTCCCAGTGATGACTGTGGCAAATGAAAATCTCTTTTCCTAGGGAACAGAAGATGACCATATTAGGACTGTGTTCAGTCCTTTCTTGGAGGCCCTCTCAAGAAGCCTCAAATGCCCCATAGCCGCTTGTGGAGTTGGCATAATTACTGGGCATCATCAGCCTGGGTATCTCTATCAGTAAAGTTATGTTGGCCTAAAGAACGTGTAACTTTGTTTTTTTCTATGGGTAACGGAAGCCCTGGCAACCTTAATTTGAAGGTGGAAAATGTTAATGGACCATCTGATTTGACCTCTTAGCATTTCATTTCAAAGCTGACGTTTCTCATTTTGACTGGGCACCCTTACATTTTGATGTCCACTATGACAGCAAATTGGGTGTTCAGCAATCTACCATTACATTTTGGATATATTTGATAAGTAAAATTCGTTACTGATGTGGCTCCTGGGCATATTGTTGAGGTCAAACTTCTCCCCTCTGACCTCCAGCATTAACACAAAAACGTGAGTTAAGCTCGCTCGCTTTTTTGTGTCCTTTCCCAACCTGCCTGCACCAGACTTCATTTTGTTTTCCCAGCGCCGCGCGGGTGAGGCAGCAGCAATGGACCAGAATGTGCTGCCATCTTCTGGCAGAAGGAAGCACTGACTCCCTTTGTTTTCACCCACACAGCCGCGAAGTCCCCTGTGCAGAGCATTTCTAACGGCATTAGCTTTATCCAGGGGGAAAACAGAGCAGCAGTAGGTGCTCCTGAGCGGCGCAGGACAAGCGAAGTACCTTGAAGGCGCCGTTCTCCTTGCTGCTCCTCACGATCCCCAGCTCTCGCAGCTTCTGCCCGATCAGCGTCAGCATCATGCTGTAGATGTTCTCCAGGCTCGTCCCCGGCGAGCAGAGGGCCAGGCAGGCTCTCTGGACCTCCAGGACAGCTTCATAGAGTTCCGCCTGAGGTGTGGTGAACCTGTGGACCAGGAAACTCAAAGAGCTGGAACTGAGAGATGTCTGCGTTTGACTGGAGAAACCCCATATTTAAAGGCACTGACACACTGCTATGGCTACACAGGCCCTGAAGACAGGCCGCTAGCGTGCCCCACATCGGTGGTGGTGGACCCGTGCTACAGGAGCTGCAGCGGGCTGTTTGTATCAGTGAAGGTTCTGAAAAGTTTGCTGCCACTGCCCTAGATGCTCATAAAGTGAGCACCCTTCAAGCTGGGGCAACACCGTCTCTCCACCAAAGCTCAGCAGGGCTTAGGAGCGACCGAGGGTAACAGATGACACCCAGTCTCACACACTGTGGATGGGAGTGTAAGTCAATACAGCCAAGTAAACCAAAGGCCTTAGAGGTAATCATGTAATACAAGCTTACAATTCTGCTAGAAAAATTCATCTTAAGAAAATAACTGAAATTCCAGAGTTGAATGCACAAAACTGTTCACTGCAACGTTTTTTATAATTTCTTTTCTTCTTTTTTTGTCTTTTTGAGACAGGGTCTCGCTGTGCAGTTCAGGCTGGCCTTGAGCTCACTTTGTAGCCCAGGCTGGCCTTGAATTCACAACGATCCTCCTGCCTCAGCCCCCCGAGTGCTGGGATTATAGGCGTGCACCACCATGCCAGGCTACCAGACAAAATTTAAAGAATGGTTAAATATATAACATAAAAAACAAAAACAAAAACAAAAACAAAACCCAACACAACCTAATGAACACCTGGGTACCCATTTCTTAGGCTCAACAATGATCAAGATTGTTATTACATCGGGCTGGGGATTTTAGCTCAGCGGCAAAAGCACGTGTCTGGCATGCGCAAGGTTGTGAGTTCCGTTCCCAGTACCGGAGAAAAACCAAAAAAAAAAAAAAAAGATTGTTATTACATCATCTATAAATGCACTCATACCTTACCCTAACACAAAATTATTAAATAATAGCTTTTTAACATTTTTTTGTTGTTATTAAAGGAGGGTCTCACTGTGTTGCTCAGGTTGCTTTTGAACTCCTGGGCTCAAGTGATCCTCCTGCTTCAGCCTCTTGTGTAGCTGGGATTACTACCTGGCTAGCCAGTCACTGAAATGCACAAGCCTGGACAGGCAATTCTGACAAATGGATGCACCAATCCCGCTGAAGTGAGGGTACTGAATTACTAAGTTTCACAGAGCCGTCTTTCTGCCTAAGAACCTCCAGACGCCTCTCCAGAGGGAGCTGCCTCAGGTGCTTTCGTATCTACAACCAGACCCAGACCCCAGAGGCCCAAAATTAGGCGCAAGGTGTGGCCCTAAACAAGGTGGGTCACACACGCACACAAAAGCATGACTTTCCCAACGCGTGCAGGCAAAGATCCGGGAACATGTGCACCGGTGGCTGTGTCCAGGTTGGGATGAGGGCAGCAGGGAGGGAAAGCTGGACTTGGCAGAGTTTATCATCAGGGATCCACTAAGCAGAGGGACAGAAAAGCTGTAAGAGTTTGGATGGCTGACTGGCAGAAACAAGGACCAAAAGGCAGCTGCAATAAATTCCAGAACCACAGGAATTTTGTCTCAGAACGTGACTATAAATCCTGCCCAAGTTTCTACTACCCTGCAGGTTCTGGACTCTAGACTGCACTGTTACCCACTCCCTCCCCCAGGACATCCTTTCTGTTTTGTTTTTTGTTTTTTTCTGGTACCAGGAATTGAACTCACGACCTCGTGCTTGCCAGGCAGGCGCTGTGCCACTGAGCTAAATCCCCAGCCCCTCATCCTTTCCTTTCTTAAAAATGTATTTTATTTTATTTTTTGAGACAGGGTCGCAATAGATCACTTAATTGCCCAGGCTGTGCTTGAACTTGCAATCCTCCTGCCTCAGCCTCCAAGAGTGCTGGGAGCACGGGTGTGCATCATTGTATCTGTATCTGGCTGGATCATCAACTCTTGCTCAAGTTTCCCACCTGTCTGCTCTGCAACTGCGGCGAGCTCCTGTAGCGGCGTGGTCAATCCCTAAGAATCTACTTTCTTCACACATGCACACGGAGTCATGAACTGTACAACGTTTTGATCAGTGATGCCTGTCTGTACAACAGCTGTCTCACAAGACTTTTTGAGACAAGGTCTCACTATGTAGTCCACGCTAGAATTGTAAAGATTAAAAGCCACTTACTAAGGTTAACTTACAGTAAGTGGCTTTCATATTCAAAAATGTTATTCACGGCTGAGTGTGGTGGCACATGCCTATAATCTGAGCACTCAGGAGGCTGAGACAGGAGGACCGCTGTGTTTGAGGTCAGCCTGAGCTAGTAAGTTCAAGGCCAGCCTCAGCTACATAGTGAGACCCTGTCTCAAAACAAACAAAAAAGGAATTATCAGGAGTTTTGCAAAGCAGTTAACCTGGCCTACGAAAGCCCTATGTACGTCTCTTTAGTTGTTTATCCAAAACATCCAGGCTCCAACTCAGATTCCCAGGCAGCACAGGCCACACCTCTCTGCCAAGCCCTACCTGCCATTGACAGGCCAGGTCCGAGTGATGTCGCTCACGTAGCAGGAAGACTCACAGCCTCCATCCAGGAGCACCATTTCCCCATCCTGAAAAAAGCAACGAGTGACGTGAAGGATCTCACAACTTTTTCCTCTAATCTTTAAAGATGCTCTTTATTATTTTAAGAAAGTTCTAATCTAAAGAAGGCCCATCTCTGGTTCCTTCTCAAGAGACATATTGCATAAGCTTTTCAAAGTAGTTTTTCGCTGGCTCCAGCAGCGCGGCAGCGCCTGGTAGGCAGGAGCTCAGGCTCTGGAATTAGCAGGGGAAGGCATCTGGCATTGTAAATGTGACTGTATTCTTTACAGATCCCACTTCAGTCAGTGCCTTATTCCAACACAACTACCCGGAGCCACTTCACTTCACAATATTACTTCCCTTCTGCTCTCTGTCATAATATATGGGGAAAGCAGAAACTTTCGAGTGTATCTTTAACTTATTAATAGTCATGATGTATTTATGCCCTTGAAGACAAGGTTTACCTTTTTTATATCTATATCTAAGTGAAAACTCTGGGACACAGTAAAGTAGTGGTTAAGAGAGTATGTGTACAATAATGACAACTTTGAAGAACAGATGTGTTTTTGTGGCGATAAGATGGAATAAATTTCCTAATAGGAAAAAATTAGATCATACATATTTTATAAAATGTTGACAGTATGTAAGAAACATCCTTTTTTTGTTTTGAGACAGGCTATCACTATGTAGTTGTTTTTTATTTTTTATTTTTTGTCTTTTTGAGAAAGGGTCTCATTATGCGGTTCAGGCTGGCCTTGGGGTTACTTTGTAGCCCAGGCTGGCCTCAAACTCGCAACGATCCACCTGCCTCAGCCTCCCAAGTGCTGGGATTACAGGCATGTGCCACCATGCCTGGTTTATCACTATGTAGTTTAGATTGGCCTTGAACTCACTATCTAGCCCAGGCTGGCCTCAAACTTGCAGCAATCCTCCTGCCTCAGCCTCCTGAGTGTTAGGATTACAGGCGTGTGCCACCATACCCAGGTCAATACATGTGCTTTTTAAATGAGTGAATTTGCAAAATCAGGTTATTGAGCTTTCTGCTGGAGCACCTGACCCTCAGGGAGCAGCCCTGAAGGGCACGCCGCGTACCTTGATGAGCTGATTATTCTTCACATAGTGCAAAGTGTTAGACCGGTTCCCGCCAGCAACCACAGGTGGGTAGGCCAGGATGTCTGCCCCGCGCGCCCGGCATTCAAATTCAAACTGTGGAGAACATGGAGGTGTGAGCCACGCATTCTGTGTCTGCGAGCCGGGGCGGCTTCACAGCCTCTGCCTCCACAGCAGTGCTTACTGGAAGGCATGAACACATCACTGCTCACTGCGTCTAAAAACCTTTTTTTCTGGTACCGGGAATCAAACTTAGGACCTGGTGCTTGCCAGGCAGGCACTTGTGCCATTGACCTCCATCCCCGGCCCACCAAGCCGTTAAGGCTGCTCTCCGTGCATCTCTTTCACCCTGTGCATGTACTTTTATTCCCACCAACCCTGTTATTTAACCTTGTTATTAAATCCTTTCTCTGAGTGTTCTCTGAATGTCTATGATTTTCAAATTCAGTCCAGAAGAGGACACAGAAAATCTCCAAGGAGGGCTACTGTTTATTCTTACTTAGCTAAATGACAAAATATGGGTTTCATTTTTAACATTAGCTCTAGATTACTAATTTCGCATTAAAACAGAAACACTAAATCTGCTGGAAGAAAGAATAGGTAGAACTCTTGAAGACACTGGTATAGGAAAAGACTTTAGAACAAAACTGACCGCACAGGAACTATCACAAAGAATCAACCACTGGGATCTCATCTTATTAAAGAGCTTTTGCACAGCAAGGGAAACCACCAACAGAGTGAAAAGACAATCCCCCCAAAACCAGAAACTCCCCAAATTTAAAGACCCAATCAAAAAATGGGCATCTGAGATAAATATATGCTTTTCTGATGAAGTAGAAACATTAAATAAATAAATAAATAAATACATGAAGCAATGTTTAACATCATTGGTCAGTCAAGAGATGCAAATTAAAATAACACTGAGAATCCATCTCACTCCAGAAACAATGGCTGTTATCAAGAAATCAACCAATAACAAGTGCTGGTGGGGCTGTGGGGAAAAAGGAACCTTTCTTCACTGTTGGTGCGAGTGTAGACAGGGGCAACCACTGTGGAAATCAGTTTCTGATTTCTGTGGAGGTTTCTCAAAAAAACTAGGACTAGAGGTCCCATTCAACCCTGTTATTTCTCTTCTTGGTATCTTCCTGAAAGAATTAAAAGCATCATACCAAAGCACTATATGTACACCCCAGTTTATAGGGGCACACTTTGTAACAGCTAAATCTTAGAAACAGCCCAAATGGCCATCAACTGATGAATGGATAAAGAAGATCTGTTTTTTTTTACACAGTGGAGTACTTCTCTGACATAAAGAAGGATAAGCCTGGGCATTTCTAGCTAGATGGATGTACCCTGAGACCATACTCTTACGTAAAATAAATCAGAGACGTATGTGTAAATCCCACATTGTTTCCTGGTGTGAGAAATCAGAAGTGTAAACAGACCAAAATGTATAATAGACATTGGGAAATGGGAAGAAAATGTTCAAATGAGAAGGGGAACAAGGAAGGGGAGAGGGGGAAAGGAAGGAAGGGAAAAGAAAAAAAATAGGAGAGCATGGAAACCAAGCTTTGTCAAGGAGGGGAGGTGGGAAGGGGAGTGAGAAAAGGAAGATGCACCACGTACAGGCACAACGTCCCTGTGACGAAGGTTATCACTACGGAGAGCTAAAATGTACCGATTAAAAAAATTTACCGATTTCAACCTTTCACAGGGGTGCCGACCCGAACGCTCTGGACGAGCGGGAGAGGACGCCAGGTTTCTGCGCAGACTGCACAGCTGCAGCGCTACCTACACGCAGCGCAGGCACACCTTCCTTCACTTTTGTTTTTTTGGTCTTTTTGAGACAGGGTCTCACTATGCAGTTCAGGCTGGCCTTGAGCTCACTTTGTAGCCCAGGCTGGCCTCGAACTTGCAACGATTCTCCTGCCTCAGTCTCTCGAATGCTGGGATTACAGGCGTGCGCCACCACGCCCAGCCTTCCTTCACATTTACTGCAAGGCTGTTGTGCTCACCTCACACCACTCAGTCTTTTTTTCTTCACTTGCTCTGCTGCGCAACTGTCTTCCTCTAAGTGTAGCAGTGCCTGCCTTAGACTCATGTACGCAGCTAAAGCTAAGAGCATGTGAGAAGTCGAGCAGCTCCAACGCCAGCCACGACGCCTGCGAGAGCTGGCTGTCCGCCACCCGAGCTGCGGGGCTCCTTTCCTGTCCTACTCACCTTGGCATAGAGGAAGGCTTCCTCCACCGGGGCTTTACTGGCAAACATGGTCTCTATGAAAGCCTGCAAAGACAGAAGGACAAGAACACGGTCTCATTCACTGTTGCTAACTCAAACGTTCAAAACACTGCAATTCAATTTTTTTTTCTTTGTTTTTGTCTGGCAGGGTCTCACTATGCAGTTCAGGCCAGCCTTGAGCTCACTTTGTAGCTCAGGCTGGTCTTGAACTTGCAACGATTCTCCTGCCTCAGCCTCCTGAGTGCTGGGATTACAGGTGTGCGCCACCACACCTGGCTTACAATTCAAATTTTAAAAAAGCAACTTTCCTCCTAGTTTTGTCACCCTGAGGTTGTGACTGAGTGAGTACAATATAGATTTCAAGAAGGAAAAAAACTGCTTTCAGGAACATGTGACTGATGACAAATTCAGTGGAACAGATGCTGCGTGCAGAACAAGCTGCCAGACTGCGTCTGCCCTACGGCTCCGCGCAAAGCCTAGGTGCCCTGCGCGGCATTAAGAGGCCAGGCCATGAGGAGCCAGTGAACCTGCAGCACTAGCACCCCTCTCGGAGGGTGGCGCGGGGATCCTGGGCCTGCGCGCTCTCCTTCCATGGGAGCACACAGCAGTCCTCTCTGCCCCTCTGCCATGCGAAGACAGGCAAAGAAGAGGCCCGGCCGGACACTGAATCTCTTGCTACCTTGCTCTCGTACCTCTCAGCCTCCAGAGCAGACAGGAAGGGAAGCCGGCCAGGCTCAGGTTTGCTGTTAGAGCAGCACAAATGAGTAAGACACAAATACATCTGTCACTGAAGCGCCACTGTGCTTCCAGAGCGCTGGTCTCTGAAATAAGACTCCGCAGTACCGTCCACAGCAGCGTTCCCAACCTCAGCAGTGCTGACCAGATCATTCTTTGTTGTGGGGGCTGTACAGTTCAGTGAAGGCCACCTACAGCCACATGACCGCCACATGACAATGCCAAAATCTGCACGCCTGTAAGCCTAGTGCTAGGGAGGCTGAGGCAAGAGGACCGCCCTGAGTTGAAGTCTGCCTGAACAGAGAACATATCCCCCAGGGGACAAACTGCCCCTGAGAACCACTCAGTTACGTAGGGATTTTTATCAATTCTGTGACAGCCACACTTCATGCATGTCAGTTTTCAACATTTGCTGCAGCACACATGCTTGTAATTCACCAACCACTTTGTGTGAAACACTATTTTTTTGGTTTCTGTTATGCATACCACCCTTCATGACTAAGGTCATTTATAATGGGTGGGCCACAAATTTATCTGTTTTCTAGCAGGTAATGCGACAGGGGAAACTGTGGCAGCTACACGACTTCCAACGTCTGCTGGATAAAAACAAAGCAATTACGAGGAGACTGCACTACACCAAGAACCTCTATTTGAACGGTATTAGAAAACTCGAGGGTATACAGAGCATGGTTACAAAATGAGGAAAACAGAACACATGCGGAAGAATTAAGGGCAACAGAGATGCGTGACTTTAGGAAGACTAAAGGCAGGCACACAAAAGCAGCCTTCAAATATCCGTGTACAGGTGGACGTGGTGGTGCATGCCTGTAACCCCAACACTCTGGGAGGATGAAGCAGGAGGATCTCATCTGATCCCAGACTGGGCAACTTCATCAAGACCCTGTCCCAAAATATGAAACGGGTTGGGGATGTAGCTCAGTGTGAAGGCCATGGGCTCAATCCATAGCACACCACAACAAAACAAACTAAAACAAAGCAAAACAAAGCAAAACAAAGCGGTCTACCTGCCCTGTCTGTGAGGGTTAATTCCAGCAGCCCAAGGCACTGATCCTGGCCAAAGCCTACAACACAGCCGCTAAGTGTTGCTAGTTGTTGCAGAAGTTTGTATCTGCTCCGCAGTCCCGACAGCAGCCACATTAACCCTGAATTGTTCTGTGCATCACTGGGAGCTCCGGGGCTGTGACAGGAAGTGCGGTCTCCTTGGCCTCACTAGGGAAGACAACAGGAATTCACACCTGACTTCCCTGGATGCCTTGCATTGAGGCTCTCATTGGCTGTGGCCTTCTCTTTTTTTCCTTTCCTTTTTCCTAGCAGGGCTTTTGTATTGTACTATATTCCCAGCCCTCAGCCCCACCTCCTTTTTTGAGACAGTCTTGCTGAGTCACTAAGTTGCCCACGCTGGACTCCAACTTGTGATCTTCCTGCCTCAGCCTCCCAGAGTGCTGGGATTACACGCATGTGCCACCATGCCCAGCAGCCGTGAAACTTTAATGCTGTTCCTATATTGAGCATTTTCCCCACAATAACTGCACATCTGCAAGCACAGTCACTGTGTCTTTAATAACTGAATGCTATTAAAATGCCATGATTAATGCAATTGGCTTTAGAAATGAGAATACTTAAACTGGGCATGATGGTGCATGCCTACAATCCCAGTTAATGGGGAGGCTGAGGCAGGAGGATGGCCAGTTCAGTTGAGCCTGGGCAATCTACTGAGACCCTGTTTCAATAATATTAAAATAAAACAAAACAGTAATGGCTGAGGATGTAGCATAGTGGTAAAATGCCCCTGGGTTCAAATCCCAACCTTCAAAACATAAGAATGAACCAGGCATGGTGGGGCACACCTGTAATCCCAGCACTCAGGAGGCTGAGGCAGGAGGATCATTGTGAGTTTGAGACCAGCCTGGGCTACAGAATGAACTCAAGGCCAGCCTGAACTTCATAGTGAGACTGTATCTAAAAGACAAATCAGGGGCTGGGGATTTAGCTCAGCAGCACAGCACCTGCCTGGCAAGCACCAGGTCGTGCGTTCGATTCCCGGTACCGGAAAAAAACAAAAAACAAACAAACCAAAAGAAATAAAAGACAAACCAAACCAAACCAAACCAAACTGAATCAAACCAAAAAAAAATCTCCAACAACAGAAAACAAAAGAATGCATAGGAGACATCTAATTCATTTTGTTTCTATTGTGATGAAATTCACATTACATAAAATTAAGAAAGAGAAATTGTAGGGTCAGGGATCGATAGACTGGGAAAAAATAGAATAGGGGCCTCATTAGGTCTTCTAGCTACTCCTGACTAAAACCAAACTTTACTAGAGAAATTCCCTTGGGAAATAGGTCAAGGATGCGGGCAGAGAAAGCCAGAAAAACCAGATAAAGAAAGGCACCAAGTGACCCTGGGACTTGCACCAAGAGATCAAATGAAGAGCTGATAGGCAGGACACAGTGATAAGCCGCACCCACCTCCAACAGAAGATACAGAAAACAAAGGGAGGGCTAAGCTGAAGGCAGGATGGACTCACACCTATGCACTGACACCCAGAGATACGCGTGTATATTCACCCTACAGTTACTGTACTTTCCATGCGGGGGTCAACAGAGAGAACAACATAATCTACACGCCCCCTTACTAACGCTAAACTAACCAAGAATAATACACCGCCTCGGCAACTAGCTGCCAACCTCCAAGATAAAGCTTTAGGGTAGATCATCAAGGACAAGTAAACAGGAAGAAGCTGCAGTAAGTGACGGCAGGCAGAGGTGCCTGGAAGCCAATCCAGCTGTGGCAATTCTGGGTGGGGGGAGGGGGTCTCAGGCCCCCCTAGAGAAGCAGCTGGGAACAAAGGCCTATGGGTCCCCGTCTTTCTGGAGCCCCCTAACCTGACACTTATCAGGGTAGCGATCTATCTTCTCTCCTCTCCCTTCCCATTTCCTCTTTACACATAAAATGTCTTCTTTTCGTTAAACTCTGTCCCTCTTATTTTTTATTGGGGCCGAGTTTACGATCCTGGTTGGCTGCCTGGGCAGCACAGCAGCAGTGCTTAGCCTCCAGATGGGTCATCTTTGGTTCCCTGACCGGAAGCCGGTGGTGACAAAATGAAAAACTCGGTGGTACTTAGCACATTTACAATGTTTTGCAAACACTACTTATCTCTAGTTCAAAACATTTTCATCATCCCTCCAAAAAAAATCAGAATTTTTTTTTTCCTGTTATGAAAATACAACCTTAGGTATCCTTTAATCTGTTTTCTGTCTCTGTAGATTTACTGGTTCTGGATAGTACATATAAACTGAATTATACAAAATATGAATTTATGAAAAGTTGAATTTATGTGTTTTTTACTTCTCTTTTTCTTGGCTTTTTTCTTGTTGTTTATTTTTTTGAGACAGCGTCTCGCTTTTGCAGTTTGTGCTGGCCTTGAACTACATACTCCAGGTTGCCTTGACGTTCCCACCTCTTAGGTTTATACAGCGAATTTCATATGGGCGTAAAGTGGGTAGTGGTTTGACTTCATTCTTTTGCATCATGTCCTAGCACACTGGACTCATTCTTTTAAGTTTTGTTCTTTGTTCAACTTTCTCATACCTGACTCATTCTGCATTAAAATATGGCTACAGTGTTCTTTCGGAAAAAAACAAAACAAAACAAAAACCAAAAAAAAAACTGGCTTAAATACAAGATGATAATAAAATAATAAGTCAAGTCATCCTTGGTTTGAAGTGGCACATGTTTTGAAATCTGTGGAATCTGGGAAATCAGGAGCTAGGAAAAAGGCTTGGAAGGGAAAAATGCAAATTGATGGCACGTCTGCTAAATACTATGTGGTATGGCTACTGCCTTCACCTAAGGCTGAAAGGTCAGAGTCCCTTCGGATTAACATCTCTCTTAGTCAACAGCCGGAGCTCTAACAAAGGAACCTGGGCCACTTTAATTTTTGATGACTCAGTTAAACTTGTGAGAATAAACTACTATTAAGATATTTCAAGTGGCACATTGCTATGGGAGGGTAAGGAACGGTGGAGAGTTGTTATTCAGTGAAGATGATCCATTTCCTACATTTTTTTCATAGAATACCCTGATGAGCCCTTGTTAAAATGGTTCTCATGCCAGGAGTGGGATGGCACACTGCACTCAGGGAGGCTGAGGCAGGATTGCCAAGAGTTCAAAACCAGCCTAGGCTACATAGTGAGTTCAAGGCCAATCTGAACTACACAGTGAGACCCTGTCTCAAAAAAAACAGGTTTTTGAGAATTTCAGGTCAAGAAGCATCATCTCTGA